TACCATTTGATTAGCCAATAGTCGCTGGCAGTTGTAAAAGATTGCGATATAATTAGCGTGGATAAAATAACAATCTTGAAGAAAAGTCCCGCTCCGGCATTCACGTATGATTTATAAACTGAAATTCCTGGTTTCTTAACTCCTTCATTGTCCCGTGGACTTTGGTTTTTTTCCGTTTCCTACATGAAATAATGTTTTAAAAAATATATTAGTTACTCGCTGAATTTTGCTTAAATCTAGAATAAATCTTTTCATTTGTTCTTTCGAACTATAAGAACCTAAAGGATAATTTCTTGATGTAAATATAAATTAAATGTGTTATCCTTATTTCATACAGACTAATGATAAATACTATTCACTCTGTTGAATATTATGTTTTTTTCTACTCCAAAATGAACAATTACAAAACAGAAGAATAAGAAATATACCTGAATAAAACATTATCATTGACAATTGAAGAATAAGAACACTGTAAACATAAGTTTTCTCTATAATTCTTAACTCCTAACATTCTTTTTGTATTCCTTCCTTAACTGAACAGAGTTGGCGGAGCTGGTAAACACTCGATATAACAAGAAAAAGTCTCTGAAGATTTAACTGTTTCAAATTGTTAATAAGACTTTTATTTCTTAACATTTATTTTTACATGTTTTACGTAGTATGTCCTAACAAGCGTTAACTTTCAGACGTTAGCGGACATGATGAAAAAGACAAGTGATATAATGCAAATTAATATTTGTTTGTGATATCTCATAAAATTTCTTATATATCCCAAGGTTGTCGCTCTTGTAGTTGAATTTCTCAGATACCAACCAACCTTTGTACTTTCACAAATGTTTACAGTTTGTATCTTGGTAATCAAACTTTTATAGAGTTGGACAGTTTGAAATGCAGTGGTGATTGTTCCGCTAACCAGTCTTTCTAATAAGCCCAGCTCATACACGCGACGGACAGAAATAAAATTGTGCATGTATATCTTTGGCATTTATGTTATTGGATCGAAATTGTCATCACTGAATAAAACGATATTGTTTTTAAAATATGTTTTTATATTGAATAATATATCTATTTTTTGCCAAATAAAAGTTTCCACAAACTTTGTGTAAAAGACATGTTCAGGTTAATCCTGGTCCATACTTATATGATCAAAGACTGCAGCCAGAATTCGCTTTTTCTAGCATAGTACAGACAGGCGTTGTCGTGCTGGAAATTACAGGCTCGTGTTTGAAAAAGTTTACGTTTTGTTTTGTGTAGATATTGCCGAAGAATCATATATATATTAATCTATTCGATTTCACAGCTCCATCGAAGAAAACAAATCTCTAACTTTCTATGTGCCCATTCACTTAAGAATGTGGATTCTGGACTCGTCGATAATAACATGGTAAATTATTAACCCTGTGGTGAATGACCTGGGCCTGACAGACCCAGCGCGACTAACTACGTAACATTTTTATGCAAAAAATTTGGAACTGTATGATAAGAAAAACAAGAAGCAAATATACTTATAAAAATTTTATTAATACACAAGATTACATATTATGTTTTTTTTCCACTACTTTTTAAAACTTTTATTCAACACACAATAAAATTCATTTGATTATTATTTTTTTATTTATTTGTTTATGGAGCATTCACAAACAAACTGTGAATGCTGTAAACAGATGTAGATTTTGCACTTGTTACAGGTATATTCAGTTTTCCTGTCTTTCCAATATCTACATCGGGCTCTTTTTCTGTTTAGAAATGCAATGCAATAAAAATAAGAATTTTTCCGCAAATGTGGCGCTGGGTCTCGGAGACCCAGGGCATTCAACGCAGGGTTAATTTTTTTACCTATATATCCTTTAGATATACGGTCTGATGAATAAACAAGAATTAGTGTTTCGTCTGACCTTCCTATTTTCTTNTCTACAACCTGTATTTACATCTTCACACCATGCATTCAGATTTCGAATTATTATATATTCTTTTGGCAAGTTTGTGAAATCTGATATATAAACTTCCTGATTTAAAAAATACTTCAAAAGAACTGTAGATATGTAAAACAAACAGGTACTTATTTTCGTAAATCTTTCCCTGGATACTGCTTCTCTTTTTTCGAAAACATTTTATAATTCATTGGAGTGTATACAGACTTATGTACAAATCTCGCGCGATACTTGCATTGAGGAACCCATTCTTTACACTTCAGGGCAATTAATTTTCTGATTGGTTTCAGTACCGTCTAATCTTTTTCCATTTTATATAAATTTTAATATGAACCGCTAAAAGTGACTGCCTTTTATATGCAGGAAGCGTGACGCAAGAAAAGATATTAGAAATCTTAGAAATTCGAATTTTTCAAAATTCTTTTCTGAACGAACTTCATTGCAGTCTGTTGCCAGAGGTTGCAAGATTTTCACAGCTGTGTATTCTAAACTAATGGAATCTATGGTAGTAAGTTATATAAATAAACTTGTTAATTTACAATACGAATTATTTGTAGCACTTCGTATAATATGTACGCAAGTTTACGTAAATTTCTGAAAGTTTAGATGAGAAAAAGGTGCATTCCAAGTGGGGTTGTACATAAATTCAGATTTGTTGTTATATTTTCAATTTAAATATATAGTTTATCTGTATGCTTCTATTAAACGAACTTCATTTGATTCTTAATCCAGCAACATAATAATTCCTAAATTTTTAAATTGAATGAAAAACCCGTATAAGAACAGTATTGAAATTATTAAAATATTTCCTTTCAACTTTTAAAGTAAGTGACAAATTTGACAATTATTTTAAATCTGAAGTAATAAATTGCCGTTTATTTAAAATATCCCGCAGTAAAACTCAAATTCTTTGTGACTGATTAAAATGGGCCGATGAGCTACCTCTAAAAATACTACATCCATAGAAGAATTGAAATGCCTGAGATGTTGACTGATTGGTCGCTGACAATCACATGTGACAGAAAATCTTCATCTTGAGAGATGACTTTTTTAGCCTAAACGTGGTAAGACAAAACATTTAAATATATTCAATCCAGGCATTTTCATGGCAGAACTACGCATGATCTTTTTGTACACATGTGTTCAGAAAATTACAGTTGAGCTAAGAAAACGTCAAGCAACTTTTTCTCTTCGATGTACTATACAATCTGTTAAGAAATTACTAGACTATTACAATTTTCCAGCTTTTCAAAACTAACAATGTTTAAGAGTCAATTATTATTTTTGACAAAGTAAATACAATAAATAAACACATTTTGTACAATCAGTTCAACAAACTTAACTTTACTTATTAGCTTTACAAAAGTAAAATTTATTCTACAGAAGATCCGATCGATCTTTCCAGAATCGAGAATGTGAAATCACCAGAAACGAGAAGGGAGATTCTATTTCCATAGACTAATCGAGGGCCAGAAGGATAGGACTCAGCAAAGGAAGAAATCGAAAACAAAGAGACGAATGAAGTGGAGATGAACAGGAAGTTGCGGGCTCCCCAAAAAAGAGTTTGGAAAAAGAAGAAATTCATGCGGAGGAAAAAAGATTTGTCAAGTCGGTATTTTATGCAGTGAAATAGGTATACTTTCTCACGTGAAGGGCCCGAATTGCCGATTTCTTCAAAACTGACAGGCTACTGGCTCTTTTCAAAGCCACTTTTTTTGGTAAAAAGAAGTTAAATTGGATCATTTAAAATATTTATTTATCTACTTAATTTAAAAAAAAAAATTCATCGCATGTCAAGCATTTAAAAAGTATATTAATATAAATTTTGAAATGTTCCATTGGTTCTAACATTTATTCAACGAAGATGAAGAGAAAGCGTAAATTTTTGTAAATCAGAAATTAGTACTGTATTGTATTGATTTACATTTAAAATGATGGCTCTGCCATTTAAGGTTTGACGTTAATACAAATACGTCTATTGACGTCAGTATTACTGAATCATAAAGTATGTATTCATAAATTGTAGGAAATAAATTCATAATAGCAATTTATTCCTAGAATCGAATTATTATTTGTTATAATTAAAAATTCATGATGTACAAATCTTGGAGAAATCAATCCGAGAAATGAAAACTGCTGAACATCAGTTATTCCATTCTGAAAATTTTCAATCAAATAAATTTATAATAGCAATTTATTCCTAAAATCGCATTATATTTTCTTATAATTAAAAGTTCATCATGTACAAATCTTGGAGAAATCAATCCGAGAAATGAAAACTGCTGAACATCAGTTAATTCCATTCTGAAATTTTTCACTCAGATAATTACTTAATAAATAATTCTTACCTCATTACTCTTGTTTCTGTCTTTAATATCATCATTCGTATCACATTGAAAACTTCTAATTTCATTATCATCATCATTAAAAACCGCACTCTCTATATCAATGTTTTCAGAGACTTTTTCCTTTGGTAATATTCCTGTATTCATTTGTAAATTTTCCAATTGTTTAAAATTTCCAATAAATTCACATTTTCCCTAAAATATATTAATCGTGTATATAAATACAATTACTTCTATGTTTTTATATAAAAAAATATTGTATACCTGAGAATGTAAACAAATTTAAACTCGAAACGTTATCACTTGCTTACCAATTTTTACTGAATTTATCGGTAACAATTATCGAGGTTTGCGGCCGAAGTTTTTTCTCTAAAACGTGAACGCTGAACGTCGGTCTTGTAAGCGGCACTCGTCGTTCGCCGTCACGCTTTAGAGATGAAAACATCCTATAACTTATTACTCGCTATAGCTTATTACTGGTATGTTCACAAATGAACTTTTGAACTGGTAATGCAATTCCTATTCTGTATTTACTTCCGTACATAGAAAGAAAGACAATGTAGCTGTTTTCAAACTCACAACTGTACGGTAGATATAAATCACTAAACACCAGTTTTTCTTACAGATTTTTGCTTCACTCACAACTGGCCTCATGCAATTTCGCAAATTTTCAACACGTATCTACACTGAAATAACTAATTCTGCCGAAAATAGCCCTCCCGAAAATTTTTTTCGCGGCGCATAGTCGATTAATAGATTAAGATTGTCGTTGTTGCCGTAAAAAGTAATTTACAATACATAACTAATAAACAATTAATGTATTCACCTTCTTTAACGCTAAAATTCTACACGCAGAGTTTAAAAATTGTATTTGATGCGTAACTAAAATGCATATCTTGTCTTTCAAATATTCCATTATACACCTGAAACAGATTAAAAGTTAAAATGTATCGAAAAGTTCAAAAAGTATTATTTAAATAATTACTTTTCGAAGATATGTTTTGCCACTGGAACATCGACAGCACTCAGTGGATCATCCAGGAGGAAAATATCGGCATCGACATATAGCGTTCTGGAAAATATAAAAATGTATCACCATTAATGAATAAATAAAACCATTCTTGTTGTATCGTTTAATAGTGTTTTCTGTGTTATATATTACGAAGTAGAAGAGAGGGCGTCAAATAAAGTATAGAACATATAGCACACGATGTCCCTACTATCAGGTCACGAAATGACTAAAATAACTGGTTTATCTGATAACAGATAATATTTTATTTGTTTTACTTTGAACAAATACACCACGGAGAATTTAGAAAATATCAGTGAGAAGTGACACGATATACGTTTAGGGTGACACTTTTTATCAGGTTGTAATGACTAAAATCAGAACCAATATACTTATAAACAATATATGAATTTCATTAAAATGTATTTATTATTGCGGTATATTTGTCTTATTCCTATTAAAATTGTTCTTTTATATTTTCACACCTAGAAATATAATTTTAGGTAAGACCTGTCTTACCTTGCTAAATTAATTCTTGCCTTCTGCCCACCGCTCATTATCACTCCTTTTTCTCCTACGATTGTCAGATCTCCTTTAGGAAATAAGCTAATATCCTAAAAATAGTAAACATAAAAATACAACATAATTATGTTCAATGTAATGTGCATTGATAACTTTACTAAAATTAAACATAACTATTGATTTCTAAAAGTGTTTGACTTATAGACGGTGTTTTGATAGATAAATTTGTGTCTTTTGTATTCGAAGTCACTATTTCGGCTATTAATATTTAATTTTATGTCATGCCTCCTATAACCGCTTTTTATAAAAGTTCAAGTCTACAAAATCAACTTTTTTATTTAACTTTTTTATTAAAAAACTGCTTTTTTAGACTTGGAGAAATCACTTTTCGTCTAGAAACGAAGTAAAGACTCCAAAATATAGTTTTTAAAAGTAGAAATCATCATACCTTTTTTAATGCCGTTATATGCAAGATTTTTCTATATTTGTCTTCTTGATATTCTTCTCCAAACAAGATGTTTTCCCTGATAGTTGCGTTGAATACCCAAGCTTCTTGAGAAGCATACGAAATCTTTCCTTTCACGGACACTTTACCGGAAGTAATTGGAATCTCTCCCAACACGGACATTAGTAAAGACGACTGTCGAAATTAATGTCGTTTAATTATTGGTAACGTAATGTTTTGCATAAATAATGTAAGTACATAAACATTTTAAAAGTATTTACGTATTTGTGTAAAAATATTATCTCAATTATTAATTGCTTTCTTTAAAATCACATGTAATGTTAAAAGGTGATACAATATATTCTATGAATTCGTAACAGAAACTGTAACATCACATTCATGAATCCCTAAGATTTTATCTGCAAACAAACTTTCTTAGAATACATCAATTAAATTATAATAAAAGTTAAATTATGCGTGCAGAATATTTTTGCGACAACCTTAGACGTATTTATGAATAAATCTCTGATCTATTTAAATTGAAGATCAAATATGATTCTACGGTTGTGAATTTCATAACAACTAAAAAGGGTTAATAGAAACAGATTGCAGACATTTTTAAAAAAATAAATTGTTTAATGTTACACAATTAAAAATTATGCAATAAGAATAACTTTTATGTTATGAATAATTTCAGAAAATTTTCTAAGAGGTAAGTGAAGTGATAAAAATTTCGGTGTTAATAATTTTAGATAAAATATTCATGTCTAAATTGAATATGTTAGATGAACAAAAACTTTAACACGTAATTATACACTCCTACATAAGTGCACAGAATGTGTATTTTCTTTTCAAAAATTAAAATCAAATCAAAATAAAATTAGAAACAGATAAAATTATTTAAACAAGAGGTAAAAATATAAAATTTTGAGAATTTATTTTATTATAAATGAGAAAATGTAACCATTTATTTACTTCATTTTATTTATTTTTTAATCGATCTTAATATCATAAAGCGTATAATTTTAATTTAGAATTAAAAACAAGATATTTACCTTCCCTGATCCAACAGGACCAATAACAATTAATAATTCTCTCGACTGCATGTTTAGTGATATCCCATTTAATGTTGGTTCGAATTCCTTTTTTTTAAAAAAAAAGAAAGTTATTAAAATATACACAGCTAACGTTAAAAGTTATAAATAAGAAATATTAATAATAAACAATAAATTAATTAATTTATGATAATGTCTGAGCCAAACCAGAATATCACAGTGTCTTTCTGTCTATACGAGAAATGCGAAGTGCACTGAGCTTGAAGACAAAAGAAATTCGTGAGAACTTCTACGAAGGTATGATTCTAGAAAGGTAAATAAATAAAAATATCTAATAAAACCAAGGACAATGCTCATTGGGTACATACACAATGCCATAAAAGTATTATAGAAAGCATCTATCAGAAAGAAGAAAAGACTTCTTTGTGGCAATGTTCAGTACCAGGCCTGTACAATGAGAGGCAACCATTTTCTTCACCTGACTTGGCTTATATCAAAAAAAGACTTCCAGAAAAGTGCGAAAGAACATTGAAAAATCCCAACACTAACTCAAGAAGAGTCAAATGTTGAGCAGGCATAAAGTTCTAACAAACACAACTGATTAAAAATATAGTAATTTTTCTTTTAGATCGCTTCTTGGTCGTTTGTGATAGATTTAACAGCAACCTGTAGGTCACAGACTTACTTTTTGCATTAAGATTTGCCATTTGTATGCCACCCATTTTTTAAAATATCGTGCTTTTTAATATGCATAATTCAACGGTATCTAAATTTTACTAATAAACACACTGATTAATGCTAACTAAAAATAATTATTCTATCTTTACCTGCACTGCCATAACAAAAATATGGTTTATTAAATTTATTCTCATTTTATTTAATTTAACACATCTGTGAGTTTTATATACGAGATCCCAGAATTTAGAAAATGATGAAATGTTTGTAGAATTCCAATGCGATCTGCAAAGAGAGAATTCTGCAATTATTTTCGTTGAAAAAAGCTTTTTCAATTTAGAAATCACACTCGTGATGAAAACCCGGAAATTCTCCTCGCGTTTAACTCATCGGTCGAGTATGAACCCTATACCAACAACCATTGTTCTAACTGTAGTGTTAGTTGTAGTGGTTTGGACCATACTGATCACAAAATTTATTTCAGATGTCGATTAAATTACAATTGCAAATAAAAATTTGTTGAATAGAATTATTTCAGATCACAAATCTTAATTTTGTTTTT